ACTAACATAATAACATACAAGGAGTTACACGCTGATGATCTCGGGGCACAGTGATAATAATAATATTCTGCGGTTCCTTATTGCGATATTTTTAACAGTATTATATTTCCCTACTAAAATACGAAAGTTAATCTGTCTGTCACATCAAAACCACGGAACCCTGAAGAAGGACATATGCTACTTTTTTACGAAAAACGACGATAACGCGGACGAAGTCGCGGGCAAAAGCTAGTATTTTAATAAAATTAGAGAAGACTCCTTATATGATGTATTTCAATGCCCTTCAAGCTTTATTTTTTATTTTTGTTACACCCTATATAAATACAATTAGTTATTTTACCTAGTTCCTCTAAGTAATCCAAGATGATCGTTGCGCTTACTACAGAAACGAAATATGGGACACTTGTAAAAACAAGGTGCACTCCAGCAGACTCAAAATATCTAAAAAAAGTTATAGTTAGGTACTTAGTTAAAAAGTTTGCCACTTAGAATACTTCGTTCTAAGTAATATGATATGAAGTCATCAATTACCGTAATGGAAAACAAACTTCTTCATAATTTTCACCTCGGTTTGGTATTCTCGTAGAAATGTATAGCTTTTCTAAGGTTGATAAAAAAAAACAAAATTAAATACTTAAATGAATAATGTGTTTATTTTGTTGTGGAATAATTGTCTTTAGTTTAAGAATAATTAAAATAAGACGCCAACTTCACTCGATGAAATCCGGCCAAAAACGTTTTTAAATTCTCCGAATATGCTCGCGCATGCTTAAAACATACGATCAGCAAATGTTTCTATACACACATCAACTGTACTTGAGTAAACTGAAACATATAGATAGTCATACTACGAAAAATGCGAATAACGAAATTTATTTGTGTGTAACGTTTCGTTACTCGGTACTAGATGGCGCACCCGTTACTCAGTACCGAATACATACGGTTTGCTACAGCTCTAAAAGATAGACAAATGCAGTCGCGGACTTTCTTTCAGAACTTTTAAAGGGGAACAATTTCTTATTACATTGTTTTTGTGTAACTTTAACCGTATACGCAACGCACGCAATGAAAACTCTGAAGAGGAATATTTTCTTATCGTATTCGAAATTTTTCATTAATGCTCCGCTTCTATTAGTCTTATCATAATGTTATATAGCCTATAACCTTCTCGATAAATGGGCTATCTATCTATCACAAAGTAAATTTTTCTATTGAAATCCGTACCCTTAGCACGAATCAATATCGAATTCGTAACTTATACAGTATTTCGTAACATAGTGTATAGTAAGTGTACATACAACTTGTATAGTATTTCGTAACATAGTCACTCAAATGTGTACTGGTTTTTAGTTCCCGTTACGTCGGTTATGGCGCTGCTGTTCAAGTTTCCATACAAAATTTGACAATGACATTTCGTACTCGCAAACTATTCGAATTCAATATTGGTCCGTGCTGAGGGTATAGTAGGGAGGGAACTACAGTAGTTCCTGAGATTAGCGCCAAACAACCAAACAAACACTTCAGCTTCATAACATTTAAGTATAGATATCACTAACTTTGTACCTATGATGGTAAGGAAACCTGGGTGCGAATTCAACTTGCACTTCTCCGGTCTTTTTAGGGTTCCGCACTCAAAGGGTAAAAATGAGACCCTATTATTAAGACATCACTGTCCGTCTGTCCTTCACCAGGCTGTATTTAATGAACCGTGATAGCTGAAATTTTTATAGGTTTTTATTCATAACAATAAATACTAAAACAGAATATAATTAATATTTAACGGGTTCACACAACAAACGTAGGTAGTGTTTATACGGTTTTTTGCTCTTTATTATTTTATTAATACAGGGTGTACAAAAACTATGATAAAGACTAAAACTCCGCATTCTGTACACCCAAACAAGTAATATTACAAAATATTATACGTGGGAATCATTTGTATTTTTAAGTTAAAAAAAAAACATTTTTTTTTCCATTACGCAATGTATAGCGCGGCGCGCTACTGTAGCGCTACGCAAAGAATGTGCCTGTGTGTATGTGTATGAGTGTGTGTAAGTGTGTCGGTAAAAAGTTTCTAAATAACGTTTTGAAAGTACTAATGTAAAAATCTTGATAAATATATTGTGACTTTGACCTTCAATATCTCCATAACCATAAATTTCCCAGGTATGGTCTAGAAGAAAAAATTGATCGTCATGATGTGGAAAATACGTGGCAATCGACAATGTTAAAGGTTTTTTTACACCCACTTTACAAGTGGCTTATTTTGTATATAAAATGTTACGGAACCCTCCGTGCGTGAGTCCGATTCGCACTTGGCCGGGTTTTTCTATAACGTCCAACATGAAATTAGAGTAATTAACTCTATATTTTATATAACTCAATTCAGCGTACATTTTCTTACAAAAATGCTTTGTCAGATTTCATTTTAGTTCATTGATAAATCAATCCATTTAGATACCGAATGATACAAAATATCAAATTCACATAACTATTAGAAGCCGCTGGCAAAATCGATTTGCTAATGTAATAGGCTATTTGACAAGTTTTTAAAAAACGTTGTAACTCCAAAAAAAAGTGGATGTTATAAGTCTGTTACATATCTGTACCAGTAAAAAAACGAAAAATAAAAAGTTTTCAAATATGCCGCGGAAACGTTTCTCTAGTAAGTATCGTGCCTTACGGCTCACATTAAAACGTCAAACAGTACAAAGTAATGTCACTTCGACAGCTTCTTTACAAGCAGCAGATGTAATTTTAGGCTTCGCCCATCCTAGATGTTTTCGGTCACGTGCCAATAGATAAAAAAATACATTTCTATTTCAGGATTTTTAGGAATACGAGTAATATCAATATTTTTTTTGTCGGAATAGTGAAATTGCTCCACATATTCTTACTTAATAATACTAATATTATAAAGAGGAAAGATTTGATTGTTTGTTTGTATTAAATAGGTGCCAAAACTACTGAACTGATTTAAAAATTCTTTCACATTTTGAATTCTACATGATCCCTGATAAACATAGGCTATAGAGTATTTTCAAAAAGTCAGGGTTCAATTTCTGCGCGGTCAATTTTAAATTAACGTTAATGTCGATTTATGTTACTTACTTATTTCTGCTAATAATGTTAAGAAATGTCAAATAGTGGATGTTAATGAAAAAAAACCCGGTCAAAGATTTCCTAAGGATTTTTTAAATCTATTTTCTACATCTACGAGCATATTCGACTGTAAAAATGCTCTACGTTCGTTACGAATAGTGTTTGAAAATTCTGAACATGCTGTGAAAAATTGTCGACATTCCGAATTCACAGTGGAAAATGAAAGCAGGAATATTTTTGATTTGTTCCTTGAAAAAAAATAACATCGCTGACTGAACTGATCTTCAATTTGTCATCGCTTGCAGTTTTTATTTTGATTCTATTTTAGGGCGAATGTTGAATTTCGGATTATTCAGTTGATTCCATAGGCGCATTTTTATATATATATATATATATATATATATATATATATATATATATATATATATGGTAACATACAATTTTACTTTACCATTAGCATATTTATCGAAAAAGCATCACTTTTAGCCGACTAGTTCTAAAGATAAATCAATTTACATTTTGTGTGCAAGGGGAATCAAGAAAAGACAGCAAAAAGGGTATCAAAATCTATGAAATGAATGTCATATGAATATGTATGTTTTTTTTTCTATAAAACTAATCAGCCTTCTGTCCTTAAATTATTTTAAAATAACTAAAAGCTACGGAAAACAATCAAAAAACTCAAGTTTTAGTAAAAATGATGTCGAGCACCCGATGCTCTTTGTATAATATTTTTTTTTATGCTTCAAAAACGTGTTAACATTTATAAACTCGTAAGAAATTATACGAGTTAAGGCAAAACAAATTAGGAAAACTTTGATTACTTTGGTGAAATGCCAAGGGGATCAACACCGATGGAAGCAAAGGAGTAGACGTTTTTCTTATAGCCAGGTAGGCAAATGACTCTACCCCACCTGATTTTAAGTGGTGATAAAGTCCGGACGCGAAGTAGTCGCGCATACCATCCCAATCTGCCGACCCGTAGTGCCAGGACCTGCGTTTGACCACCAATGGTCGAGTGGTTTTGGCCTGTAGCACTTTGGCAGATATCAGGCAATGATCTGATGAACCCAGTGGAGCTCGAACCAAAACCCGATACTCCTGCGGATAAGCAGAAGGTCTAGTAAAGAAGGCGGTTGACTCGCTATATCTGTGATCCTGGTGGGCTGACCAACCAGTTGTGTCGAGTCATGCATGAGAGCGAACGCATGGGCAGAGATCCCTGCATGGTCTGTTTTGGAGGAGACCAACCACAAACCGTGGTGGACGTTAAAGTCAGCTCAACACCAGTTGAGAAGGAGGGGTCTTCCAGGCAGCTCAAACGGCGACAACAAACATCCGCCCGAACATAAATGGCATACACGCCGCTTTTCGCTTTGAAGGTTTCTTCAAGCACGTAGCCGAGATAGTTAAGGTAGCCTGGGTTGGCTGGCGGAAGCATTTGTGGCTCCGTCTCAAGGTAGATAGCATTGAGGTTAGAGTGGAGTTTGCGTATATTACAGAACTCGACCTGAAACAGCGCTGTACAACCAAACTTTGTATTACGGGCTGCCGTCATGGGAAAAAATTGAGCGACGTGAATCGAGTGGAGTTAGTCGCGACAAAGTCAGGCAAATATATTGAGGCATGTTTTCCTGAGTAACTGCATAAGAAAGAGATACGCCAACCCACCGGACGGAACGGTCGGTTAGGATATTTTTTTTACTGTTTCTACCTAAGTAAGAAACAATAATATCGTAGCGCAATTAGCTTACAGCATAAAATAATATTTTGTATCCTTGTTTTAATATTACGAGTACTTATTATCTCCGGACAGCGGAAATTGATCCTCTCAAGATTTATCCTTTACTGGTATTATTTATAAATAGTTTTGAATTTTTACTTTTTGCATCTGCTTGATGTCAGGGCGTAAAAAAAATTATTTCTATAAAAATAAAACTGGCTAAGGTCTGGAGTGAGAACTTTCGCAATCTGGACGAAAAACTACCAATGTATTTTTTATTTCTTATTTCATAAGTTATAAAAATATATCAGTTTAGTGGATAACTAAAAATGTTGGTGGATAACTTAAAATAGTAATAGTGCTTACTTCGAATGTTAGGGTTATACTACAAAAACGTTAGATACAATTTTAAATAATATTGAGGCCAACCTTGTATAATTATCTGCTTTGTCATTAATTTGACATTCTTTCCACATACCCAAACCTTCTGAGCACGCCTATGGTAATTTAACACTGACACTGACTTTCGGAACAACTTTTTTGATACTTTTATGACATCGCAATTTACCACTTTGTATCCATTATTTTCCACTTTTTATAAGTACAGTAACATATTCTCACTAAGTAAAGGGCTTATCTCTTTTCTATCCCTTAAAATTGGAGTTGCCAAGTTTTACTTGCCTCGTGGTTTCATAAAATCACAGCAATATTTTATCTTTCTTGAGTTTAAGGAACGCAATCTGCAAGCGATTATACGTATTACTCGCATCTTGCCTGCCATTTTATTACTGTAATGCACTATCTGACACACCCAGCTGTCATTTCTGTATACATTAGCGTTGGAGGAAGCACTGCCTTTACCGTCACATAGCTTTTCTTTTTATAAAAAGCTTTTACCAAATTCTGCTTTAAGCATAGTGCATATACTAATAACATCTCTTTCGAGGCACAATGCATGAAAACAGCATCATGGAAGATAAATAATCATAAACATTACTCCCATACCTTGTACCTTTATGACGTCACGTTTTGATTAGTTCATCCGGGAACTCAATTTCCGAATTCGACTGTTGTAGACTGTTGTTAGTGGTAAGTTGGCACCTGGTCTATCTATGGCCACCACATCCGCTTACGATATCACACGCACACCGTTGCCTATCCTGACCCAATACCCTACTCCGTGGAGCCTTGGTCCTTACTTACCGACAGAAACACAACACTACCAAAAGGTAGTGTTATTTTACTGTGATATTCTATAAGGTAGAGGTAACTTCCCCCGATCGGCGCTCCAATTCGTGTGAAAAAACTGCTATGCCCTACTTCTCTTGTTGTTTTTGAGTAGGACATCATCGGCCCTTTATCGTCAACATTGTCCATCCCTATGATACTATCCTATCAGGATGTGTGGACCCTAAAGTTTTACCCGCTAGTAAATCAATATTTTCCACCCATCTCACAATCGTTATCAACGCAATCTACAACCTCAAATGATAAACGCTGACCACTCGTCCATAAAGCTTCTTGAATTTATTATTAAACAGTTTATTCTCTATCCAGGTAAATGGGAGCTCGGCTGGATCCTATGCGATATTTGGATCAGCTTGGACATCCTGATGTGCACCGCTTCCATCCTCTCGTTGTGTGCTATCAGCGTGGACCGGTACCTTGCAGTCACCAGGCCCCTGACCTACTCCAGGCGGAGAAGGTCGAAGAAACTTGCCCTCACCATGATCTTCTTCGTGTGGATCGCTGCAGGAGCTATAACATGCCCACCGATGTTGGGATGGTAAGATTGACTGATATTTGATTTCTTTCAATTCAAAATAGTGGCAGATGTGGTCCTAAGCTGACAAAACGCGTTCGCGAGTTGCCTGCTGTAATAGAGTGTGAAAGCATGTCTTGTGTTCGCACCGCGTAATCCTGCTGTGATTGCTAGGAATAAGTGAGGGCTTATGATAAAGGTTACTTCTTTAAATAGATGCGGTGCATCCAAGTCCGAGTCCAATACGACATTGCCCTTTCACTCTATAAATTTACATTTTGTCGAACAGGTATGAGCCAGACCACAACCAAGGAGGGGTGTGCCGATACAACCAAAACGCTGGCTACGTGGTTTTCTCTGCCATGGGCTCCTTCTTCCTGCCTATGGTGGTGATGGTTTACGTCTACGCGAGGATATCTTGCGTAGTCGCCAGGAGACACCAACAACTAGCCAGCACTGCGACTAAATGCAATAAGGTAGGTTGACGAAGGGTTTCGTTATATATTTCGGGTTAAATTATATATCTATTACTATTCTATTACAAATAGCTAACATTGAATAAAAAAACATTTAATTTTGCTCGACGTCCTGCAAGTGATACTTTCTCTATGACTTCCTGAATGATAATAACTATTTATATTGTCAATTTACACAGAATATGTTTTTCATTTTTTTTAAGCATTTAACTGCTAGATCTTTAAATGTAAAGAAAAGTTTACTACAAAAAAATCCACGCAGACCAGGCAGCGGACGGGACTCAAACCAGCACCCTTCGCAATCCGGGCGAATGCACTGACCATTATGCTACCACGGCCCTATTCGCCGCGTCGAAATTTTCCTAGCCTTAAGCTGCAAGGCAGCGCCATCTCTTCGCATTGTAGGTAACCCACAATGTCAAATGAATACTTTTTCAAGTATTAAACATTTGAAAGAAGAAACAGAAATATGTTTTCTATATTCGGTATTACAACAAATAGCCAACATTAAATAACAAAAAAATGATTTTGCTAGAAGTAGTGTTAATATTTTAAGGTGGTACGGACCCTTCACGTACGGGTTCAGCTCCTACACGGTCGGTTTTTATACCATTACATCTTTTATTCAGTCTATTTTTCGACCTTTCCTATCATATTCGTTGCCTTCTTTTTTGCATTGCTCATCATAATTTATATTTTTTTATTAACATCCAATGTACATTCATATAATTCGTTCTTGTATATATTCTCATTACTTCACATATTAATTAAAAAGTTAACACTAACATTTATATTAGCAGAATATACAGTATAGAAGGTATATAAGGTGTCCATAGGTCACAACAGTCACATGATATCATTATGTCTTAAACTTCCGTTAAATAAAATAAAAGCACCTGCGTAATTAAAGCAAGCAAGTTTATGCCCAATTTTAAGGCACATTTAAAACTACACTATACAGACAAAACATTTCTGATAACAAGCATTATGTGTACTAGTTCAAAATTAACATTAACAACAAGATTGTATCCATATTTGCAATATACATTCTTGTGCTCTGTATTCAGGCTAATATTTCTAGCTTTGTTCGCTATTAACTTCGGATGTTTGGTTATCGTGAGGTCAGCACTAAATCGAGACACAGCATTGATTGATTGTCAAAAAAACACAAATCCTTAGGAATTCGAATAAAACGAAATCGAGTCAGGGATCGAGTGAGGTAATGGAAATTTTTCCTTTAGGTACGGCAGATAGAAGAGCCATCAATAATAACTTTTGTTTGGAATGTAAATAATGCTTTCAGATCAACGCTCTCTTTGCAACGGTTTCCCGTCTTTACATTGAACTGTAATCTATTTATTTATAGCGGTTTATCATTATTTTTGCTTTTACCTCAAAATAAATATTGACAAAATCCAGACCTATGTAAGTTTAATATTTTGCTTCGGCGAATTGAGGCTTTCGGACGGGAAGAATTTTCTCACTCTGTTTTTAGAGTTCACGTAATGGAGTCCAATCTCGGGGAAAAATACGGGGTTTTAATGTTTATGCGACCGACTTTCGTCCATTGGAAAGGAATCTGTACTAAAAATGTTTCATGCGGGAACGCTTCGAAGCGTCAACAAAACAAAAAGGCAATTTGCAATAATGGATTTTTGAATTCCTATATATTCAAATCAGAATCACAACAACATTTTTTATCAGGGTAACAAGCGTAAGTCATGCTTGATGGTAGGCCTCCATCATTATATTGCTTAGCTCTGACCTTGATCCCATTTTTTACCCTATAAAGCTTCATAAATAATAATAATAAAAAACAGGACAAGCGTAATTCGAACTCGCTCACCGAGCGTTCCGTACAAATTTGTAGGTAGGCAACATAAACGGCAGTATCTTTTTTTACGTAAACTTGGAAGTTTTATATTTTCACTTCTTCAAGGGACCATAGTCCTGAGTATAACAGACAGATTAACAAGAAAGTGATCCTATAAGGGTTTCTTATTTACTTTTGGGGTAGGGAACCCTAAAAAATATGTCACACATTTTCATACAAACTAGTTAGTATATCATAAGAGTATTAAGTGACTAGTTCTGCTTATTCTTAAGGAGCCAGAACCCGGAAGCGAAATATTGAATAATCAGGCAGGCCCATCTTAAATGACCATCAAGATGCCTTTTGCACTTTGCCGCAATATTGTTCACTGCTGGAAAGAATTCTTCGGAATAATGGTCCCTTAGCTGTAGCAGCTTCTTTATGTTGAAGATTTATCCATAGGCGGAAAATCCGCTTCGCCTGGCTTCTTTCAAATGAGTATTTTTATTACTTTGGCGGAATAAATCCCTTTACGAATTGCTTCGTTTGTTAGTGAATCCCTGTCGATTTCATTTTTTGTGATATATTTATTACAATTCGGTTAAGGAATTATAAAATAGGGCTTTTAAACATGTTAGATTTTTATTTTTCGATTTTACAATTCAAATTGTTTCACTTAAGAAATACTACCACAAGAAAATATTTTTGCCAATTTAGCTGGTAGTTTTTGTTCCTGTCAAGAAAAGGTTTTGGATTATGTAACAGAAAATTACAAGGGTTATATTTTAATATTTTAATATTTAAATTTTTGTTTTTTAGAGGAGCTCGATATCGCAGGTGGTGAAAGTTAAGCAGGTTTCGCAATGGTCGGTGATCAAAACCTTATTATCTTGAACTCCTCCGTGCTTCGGATGTCACGTTAAGACATTGGTCCCGGCTGCATCTGCAGTCGTTAGCACCCACCGATCCCCACTGGGCCGGCTTGGTGGGTAACAACCGAGTCTCTATCTATTTTATCGATAGTGCTGCAATCCTGTGCCCAATGCGGTTGGTACATTAAAAAGCTGATGATGATGATGATAATATATTGTTTTTTTTACTATAAAGCTAATTATATTAATACTCGAGGGCGGTGCGGCCAGGTTACAAGTTTTAATATAAAATTTATAGAAATAGTCCTAATAGATACAAAGCTTTCAAGATTCTAACCCTTTAGCCCTTTAATTCAGTAGAATAGCTTCAGTTTTTCGTGACAAGACAAATGTGCATCGAATCGTGAACAAATTTTTTCGTGGTCTCATTGTGACTTCAATGGATTTAATTCTTTTCATTGTGGCCAAAGTTGTTGCTGAATCACCTAATGGGTGTTCATGACGAATGCTATTAGTAAATTACTGAATCAAAAGAATCACGTTTACTAATTAATGAAAACTTAAAATGGGTGTAACACATTTAGGCTCGCTTGCACAAATCTAATTTAAAAGTTACTTAATCATGTTTAAACCTTTACTATCTTTTTTACTTTAAACAATTGAAAAGTTGACAAGGAATTATGTTTTTTTATTTCTTAAGAATGTTGGTGCAAGTGGCCCTTATGTAGGGTTGCAGACGACTCTTATCACACAATATTTTCGGACAGAGTCTAAATTTGACACATTTCTATTTTATAATATTTACGACAAATAATTTTCGTCTGTACCAAAAATATTAAATATCTCAATTTGGGTAAACCCGAGATCCGTCTCTCCGTGCTTTTTTATTTTTTATAATAATAGATATCGGCTACTGGTAAATCTGGCATACTCGGTGTGTCTTAATACTGGAATCTAAAATATAAATATAAATTACTCGAAAGGAATATTAGCATGGCAAGCTAACCTTGGAATATCTAAAAGAAGTTTTTTATGCTGACTCATTACTAACCGAATGCCAACTGTCATGGTATTGTAGGAACAGGAACAATATTAATTAAAAAAAAACCTTTATGTTCACTTCTTGCCAATTACAACGACTGATTTTCGGCAAAAATAGTATTGGAAAAATTAAATCCTATTTGGTCCACTTGCACCAAGGTTCTTAACTCAAATTGAAATGGTTAAGCCTCATTCTATCTGTATTTGATTTTAAACAACTGCTACATTGAAACTAGAATGAAATAAGCTTTTCCATGTAAGTTCGGCCTCCCAGCTTACATGCATACATATATACATTTTCGAATTTGACACGCTGTAGCTTTTGGCTGTAACAAACTTTTGGCCATTGGGCCCATGGGGTCTTTTAGCTATCATCTCCCAAAGTTACAGAAAAATTGGCCGAGAGCCAGCTTCCATGAGGATTCTGCGGGGTCTATTGGGGAAGAAGTTTTCATAACAGTTCAAAAATAGGTTTAGCGTCGGATTTTTACAAAAGGAAAATATGAAGAATGAGTCCCTTTTCCTCACTGTTTTTTCACGCAAGGGTATTAGTTACTTAAATACGGTAGTTTCATTCATTGTTCGCTAATTGTAGCTTAAAAAACTTTGGGCGTGGCCATAAAGAAATCGGGGCCGTATTGTATAACGTTTTCTCCTTGCGCGATCTCTTTCATTTCATATTTGGGAATGAAATTAGGTTAGTGAGTCACATCGACACTTGTTTCAGCTTTTAGTTAGTTAATTTGCACCCAGGCTTTTTTTAAAGTTTCAGATTACAATGGGCCCCCAGGTTTTCAGTGTTTAGGTACTATTTTAAAAAAACTGATTATTTTTCAGCTGTTTACAGAAATGTCAGTTAAAATTGTTGCTTTATCGAATCATAAACATCATTTGCCCCTACTGTCCCTACTGCTGGGGCATAGGACTTCTCTTTGGATGGCATAGGGAGAATCCTCACATGTCATATATGTAAAAATCACTATGATTTGAACTGTGCAAACGTAAAAACCGCTGGAAATGTAAATCATGTCAATGCAGTATGCCTAAGTGAGACAATACAAATACACCGATTTGTCCACAATAACTAGAAGATGATAACCACAACCAAGAAAACACTAGTAAAAATTCGAATAACAGCCCAGTTTATTAAGAGTATTAGAAAAAATCTTGGGGAAAAAGTTTGAGCGGACCAGACATCCTATACTTTTAGAACTAAAAAAAACAATTTTAACAGAATTGAACAAAAATATGTCAAAGGACAATGGGCAAAATTGCATGGACACTGCACCCACGTCCGCCACGGCTTAAACTACATTTGTTTGAAACGTATCATAGTCATGATCATTTGTGCCAAAGCGCATCAAATTCCATCCCGGGAGTCTTTAGTTATTTTAAGTTAAATAGGTACAATTCCATAGGTAAAAGTAACTATAACGAACATAATATTTAAAGATACAAGGAAGAGTGTGTAGAACGGATATATTAATTGACGACCACGGAGGTCGGAGTCTAGTGGTTTGTACGCCGGGTTTCATGGTGTCGCTGGCTCGAGAGGTTCCGGGTTCGAATCCTGGTGGGGACGTACGCGATGATAATCGTGTTCCTATTTCTAAAGCGTGTTAGTTAAATATCAATGAAATAACAGGGAGCGCACAAAATGTAAGACATAGGACTGCATACGAGTAGACTAGTTGCAACGGCAACTGCAATATCACATCCTTCAACCCCCATACCCTGTTAGACGTTTTGAGGAGTCTCAGTAAGTGCAAGCACCAAGCAAGCAGGATAGTCGGTAGGCTTTGTTGTTTAGTATTTTGTATCTGGTTGTACAGTACGATATGATTCACTCACTTATTATTGCTAATATTATAAAACGAAAGTACTATTGATATTGAATGAATTTCTTTAGCTATTTAAATATCATCATCATCAGCCTATTAATGTCCCCACTGCTGGGGCACAGGCTTTCCCTATGGATGAAATAGGGAGATTGGGCCATGACCCACCACGCGGGCCCATTGCGGATTGGCGGGTGCTAACGACTGCAGATGCAGCCGGGACCAACGGCTTAACGTGCCTTCCGAAGCACGGAGGAACTCGAGATAGATGTTTTTGGTCACCCATCCAATGACATACCACTGCGGAAGTTGCTTAACTTCAACGATCGCAACCGAACGCGCTAACCACCTGCTCCATCGAGCTTCTGTATAAGGAGCTATTTAAATATGCCCGTGTGTAACCGGTCCCCATGACTTACACACAAAGGTCGTCTATAAGGACTATGTGCGGAAACCTTAACCCCTAATATAGAACATACCCAGGTGTATTTCTTTTGACCCCCAGGTTATTTTTTTTTGGTGCCATAATAAAAAAGGCTAGTTTTTCATAGATCTATCGATTCATACTAATTCATACTAATTACATTGTTGGCGGAGCTGGGTGCGTTTTGCCCATTGTCCTTTAAAATTAGAGATAACATCAGCGACAAAAAATTTCCTATCTAGACAAATGAACTTAGAACTTGCATAAATATAATAATGCCTTAACTACACAAATTGAAAAAATAAATACAGAAAACGAAAACTTTCCAAAATATATTCATGGAACTTGAACAAAGATTGTCACACCTAGGAACCAAAAAAGATACAATGTTTACAACTTCATTTAGTTACCAATCAAGGAAAATTGTTTTTGTGGATTATGTGAATATGAACAGGAAACTGAACAAGAACTCCATAGCCGGCTTATATATGCCTTTCAGGATATACTAAATGTAAATTTATCAGGGTTCATAGAAGACACAAAGAGATTAGAAAGAAAAGATGACCGAAGGTCATTGTTAATCGAATTGTTAAGCAAAAATGTAAGTAAACAAATTCTCGAGAACCGCCAGCACTTCATAAGCTCAGGTCTACATTATTCAATATTTCGACCGCGACACTATGGGAAAAAGAAATTCACAGAAGAAAATGTTAATCAAAGCGAGGCAAAATGGAAACTATGCAATAATTAGGAATAATAAACTTTTTATTAACAGAAAGGAATTTCAAGACTTTAATGTAATGACTGAATCAAACAACATATACAGAAGTTGCCTAACAAATAACAATGTAAATAACATTAACATAGAAAACTCAAAGCCAATTGACATTCATTAGTAAAAAGTTCTAATTTTCGTGCCTATCACAAATAAATTCATAATCATATATCAAAACATCACAATTGTAATTAATAAAATACACACCTAATGTAAATAAAATTTAAACCTAATAGAGCAAATTACACAAGATGATGCTGTATTGAAATGCTATGTTTGACTGAGACATGGATAACAAAGAAAAAACGAGATTTACTACGATTAGACGGCTTTGAAGTAGCTTTATCATTTTATAGAAAACATGAGGATGGCGGAGGTGTGTGCATGCTCCTCGAAGAAAACATTGAATTTGTTAAAAGAAAGGATATTTAATCACTAACCACTGAATTTATATTTGAAATATATGTCGTAGAATTGCTAAAACTTAATTTAATTGTTATTACTCTTTACTGGCCTCAGAAAAGTAGAAGTCCAGACATATTTTTAGAATCTCTCAAAAAGCTTTTGCATATATTAAATATAAAATATTTCTTGGTGATGATTTTAATATAAATGTTTAAATTGGAATGTGTAGATAGTACCACTATATTAGGTATCAGTATTGACACAAACATAAAATGGAAAAATAACCTTCAAAAATTGGCTAGCAAGTTATCCAGCTTAACATACGCATTGTACCACCTGAAAAGATCGAGTGACCTAAAGACAGCATTAGCCACATACTTTGCCTACGCCCATGCTTGGATAAGTTATGGTATAATCCTCTGGGGAAACAACGCTGATGTTCAAAAAATATTCTTAATACAAAAAAGATGCGTACGAATTTTAAATAATATGGACAGAATGGAGAGCTGCAGACCACATTTAGCTAAACAAAAATCCTAATTCTCACTTCACTTTGTCTATTTGAAATTCGTAAGTTTGTAAAACAAAATCTTCCATTATTTCCCCAAAAACAGGACTGTTCTAGTACCATATAAATTTGAGATACAATGATAATTTAGCCTAACCCTCATCAAGTCTTAAAATCCATAGTTCAGGTCCACCAATAAACACAATTAAAAATTATAATAAATAACCTAAATATATAACCGTACAACAAAACGTAAAAAAAGTTTGCACAATTTTTGAAACAATATTTATTGAAAAAAAGCCTTCTATAGCTTGCAAGAGTTTTTTGATGTAAGGTAGCGTACTTGTAATCTAAAATTTTACTGTGATTGATTATAATTATGTGTATTTTTTTGTATATTGATATTGTAGTGCCTTTGCAGAGATCATGTTTGAAACAAAATCTTGAGAACTTGTAATTACAACTCATGAAACAATAAATATATTGAATTGAATCTTTGTCAAATATAAACCTGACAATAGCCAAAGTATTATTTGATATTCGATAAAATATATTCTATTTTTAGGTCCTTCTAGATCTACGATATTAAATCATATATCCATTTTTACTCCTATTTGATAAAATAAAAGGTTAGTCGGGTCTGTGATTCGGTATTGACTCTTCTTGATTTATTTACATTGAGGGATTATATTATACAACTCCAATGCACTGGATCATTTTTCAAATAATTTAAACTCGTTGCTCAACTGTATAGCGACTTTGTATAACTGAGAAAAAAATGTCGCCAATAATATAATCCAATAGTGCCGACATCAGCAGTCAAATAAACCTTGTCACTATTGAAAAACCGTGTACATCAGTAGGTATCCCTTTTTATTAAATTAGCCCATTGTATGTCATGACATAATCAGATATTTACGTACATTCAGTTAGACCCTTATAATAAAATAACATAAAACTATAATTGAGACTGGCCGTATTATTTATTTGCTTTACTTATATCGTGACAAAACGCTGTAAATCATTGGTTGCAATTGGAAGCCAATTTAACGGATGACCGATTTGGATTGTTTTTGCGTTCTGAAAGGGTCAAAGCTAATGTTTCTTTCCTCCTATTAATCTAATCCCACTATTTTATATAGTTGTTAAAACTTGTATTACAAATGTAGCTCTCTACAAAGTCACAACAACAAGAACTACAACAGAAGCTCTGACCTTCCTTGATTTTAAATTAGAACTGTGCTGTTTGATTTGATTGACATAAGTGAAACTAACGGGTCTCGCATCAAAAGTACCATTAGGACCTAGATTTTTCCCCCGTTCCTTCCCCCGCCTGGGACGAAACAAAAAAGAAACGGTGGATATCATTCTTATTTAAAAAAAAATTATATCAAATTGATTTTGAGTTTGAGACGCAGTTTAACTTTGATTTAGGTATTTTAGATGAGATGCAAGATTGATATTATTTGGTTTTATAACTACCAAAGATTTGAGTCGTGTAACTACAGGCAACTTCAAAACCCTACACCACTGCGCGTGGCACGACACGCACTTGGCCGGTTTTTATTAACATAATTTCGAGATAATAAAGCACTTTAAAAAAAAACGCCGTCCATTAGATTTTTTTTCAATTGTTTTACAGATAAAAGTTGATTTTCATTGGGACAGAATCGGATTCCTAACCTGAACTAACCTAACACGAATATATAGAGATACGTCAGTTTTAAAATTTTCTGAAATATAGCGTGCTCCTACAAGCATAATGTTTGTTTACATAGTGAGATGAAATCTTTTTTCAATTGTTTCAGAAAGGAAAGTTATCCTGCATCCGTACAGAATCAGATTCGGGTTCCGACAAGCTATCACTCAGGCAGAGCGCTTCCAAGCAAGCGTCGAAAGCATCCACACAGCAAAGCGAATGCTCCTCCCAGCAGGGTGACCACAAGTGCCCCTGCTGTTTCAAGGCCGAGAAGAAGAACCGACAATCTAAACAGTACAGAGGTAGCAAAGAACGGGAATCCAGATTCTATAATGAAGTGACGTTCAAATCCAACTTTAAGTATAAGAACACGACCAGACACCGAACGCATTCGATGAAGGAGAACATAGATAACAACAGAGTATCTTCACTGAGACGGGAAACAAAAACTGCGCAGACTTTGAGTTTGGTGGTAGGAGGCTTCGTGGCTTGCTGGTTGCCGTTTTTCCTGTATTACCTCTTGACACCTTTCATACCATCCAGTTATGTAAATCCCGTACTGATGTACATTTTGACGTGGCTTGGATGGTTCAACTCGGCTATCAATCCGTTTATTTACGCGTTCTATTCTCCTGACTTTAGAGTTGCATTTTGGAGGCTCACTATCAAGAAATGTAAAAGGAATAAGCGATAATATACCTCACAGCCTGTTTGTGATATTTATGACAATGGTGGCGAGACATCATAAGTACATCAAATTCAACGCGGATGTTTTTTGAAAACGCTAATCTGGCTCCCAATCTCCGTAGTCTTAAATGTTAAAATTCACTTTTGGATTTGCCATTAAGATAAATTGTATCGCGCTCACATTATTTTTCACACTTAGCGCTGTCAGAACTGTTATATTAAATATACATTACGTAACGTTCAATGTTGTGTTTTAGGTTTCGTTGTAAGTGTTCGGGCACTACCGCCATTTGGGCTAAGTTTGGACGAATTTTGCGTTTTACGCAGGGTACATTCATGCGCTAATTAAAATAAACCTTGCTCCTTGGCATTCACTTTAGATTCCACCGGAAAGGAGGATAAAATTTTAAGAGTGCTATGAAAACGACAATTCAGAATCAGACAAAAATAAATACTTTACAGAATAGAACAACTGGTACCAAGGCTTATTCATCCACTGGACACAGCAGACTGTACACACGAGTGTCCAGTTGGTGAAACTCAAAATTAGTAACACCTTCTTATTTCGTCATCTAGACATGCCAAGATTTTTCGTACGTTTACGTACGAAAAATACGTACCTTGCAGGTACGTAAACTGTGCTTGTTTTGACATTTACAAACTATAAAAATACTGAACTGTAAGACTTTCTGATTCAAACTTCTTATGAACTAATGGAAGTTATATAAAAAAAAATTACAAGCACTAGTCTGGCTTTGCACTATTAAGGTTCCGTATATAATAATATCATTTTTTGAAACGGAGGCAACATTGCTTCTTGCCATATTATTCTGTTATTGAACCATATTATCCTGTCATTGAAGCTACTTTATATCAGTAACTTATGATATAGTTTGTTTCCGAAGTAGACATCGCAACAAACCGCGAAAGGAAAAATCATTAGTTTGTTTTTGTGACAACTTAGGATGTAAGTAGTAGAAAAAGAAAAATACATATGGGGCATCATATACCAAAATTTCACATTCTTAACTAGTTTAGATTTTGAGATACACCCAGTAACAAAAATGGTATGAAAATGACAACTTTGATGCCCCAATCTATGTAATTGAAAATAATGAAAATTATATTTATATCCTACTACACAAGCTCTAGACAATGATAGTCTCGGGTTAAAAAGGAAAAAAATATTTTCGTCCATGTTCATTTCATAAAAAATATTTAATTGAATTTTTAATTAAACATTCGGCTTTGAGCACGCATTATACATAAACTAGCTAAATTTCAGTTCTGTAACTCATTACTTTAACGATTTAGAGACTCGTTACATACGGGCAACATTAGGGTTCCGTTTTTACGATTTGGGTACGGAACTTTATAAAATTTTGGTAATGTTGCTATAAAATTAAGAATCTAAATCTGAGAATACCAAGTACGTAAGCGATGCCGTGTCTTTAAATTAGGTAATTCTTTACTAACTCTTTAATATCAAATGTTTTTTTTTGTAAGTTAAGAAAATAATGTTAAAAGATTTAAAAGTATAATTATCAAAGTGATATTACTTAGGATAATAACAAGAAGGCATTGTAGATCAATGGGATTTTTTTTGTCGATGTCTTAAAGTATTATTATAAGACCCTGCCCAGTGAGCGCAAAATTTATGAAAGGTCACTGGACGAAAAGTAAACAAATTATGAATTGATTTATCTTAGAAAATTGAAAAAATACACGTGTAATATTATTGTACGTACCTGATTTTTTAAAATACGCGCCAATTATATGATAATGTATGTAATTTCTCATCGTTTTGCTCAGAAAAATGTTACGTATTCGTGTTAAATACTTAAGAGAAATATTCACACTACCTACGATCTCATTACATAGTTAGTTGTATTGTGTCTTTTAATGTTATTTCTACTTTATAAACAATCTTGGTTAGTACTTCATGGAGTAGAAATAAAATAAATATATGTCCAAGGAAGCTGTGTTGTTTTTATTTATTAACAATAATTATGTTAATCAAACCAAAGACAATTTCGAGATTCCAAATAAGTATTATCGACTAGTCATTAAGGTAAATACCGTTATTACTTTTAAGATATAATGTATAATATTCATAGCATCTCTACTATTGAGTAGGACAAAAAGATTTGTGATAAATATAGACTCAAATAAAGCGTACTGCTCTTGATATAGCATTTTCATTTAATCCCAAAGAACTTTCTGAAGCGATAAAAGTATCTTATCTTTTATTACAGGATGACTTGGAGCTTTGTTTTATTACTTTTGAATGACCTAGCGAGTAAAGAAAGGTCTACTTTTAGAATGGCATTGGATTGGTCCTAAAAATGAGTTCCAGGTTACTCGATCTTTCAGTTTCATTTTGTACACTGCTAAATGTTTGATGTGAAATATCTATTGTGCCGTATGTGACGACGTTCAATGGTAAACATTTATAAGCTTGAGCTTATTCCGCTAATCTCCATTGACATCAATGGGGGATTGCGAACTTTTCTTCCACTTTTTTACCTGATGGGGATCTGTGAACTTTACTTTCACATCATCAATTTGATTAGCATCGAATGGGGATAGGTGGAAGAAAGCTTCACTATTCCCCATTGATGGGGAATACCAGTTTATGATTAATATTCGTAAGAACTCCGTTGATTTCTGTTCTCCGTTGAGAGATCGTAACAAGTATAGATTTCAGTTTGATTCCAAGGTGCCAACATATTTTATTTATTTTTGTTTAATATTTCGTCTCGAGTTGATTTACTTTTTACGCTTGTCTCTTGCAGCGGCTACAATATGATTGAATTGTTTTGATTTAAGGTAAACTTAGAATTGCTTTGATTTTTTTTATTGAGTCCTTCTTGTAAAGACAGTGACGGTCCATATTATGTATTTACAGAATCACAAACAAAATGTTACTATTGATCGCTTACCATTATCGTCTAAAATAAAACTGTTGAATTCTACTTAGCCTCCTTAAAGCAAAGTGATAAAATAGTTTTGAATGCATGTGTATTTAGGTCAAGGATCTTTGCAATAGATTTAAGTTGATGGAGGGAAGTATTTTATTCATTGGGTTTCTCTTTTTCTGGAATAATCTGAGATAGGTTGAATTCAATAAGTTAGCGTTGAATACTACCAATACTTGTTATATAATTTTATGGTAATTCCATGCTGATCATAGGTATCTGCTCAGTGTTGGCCGTTGCTGACTTCATGACGTGGGAACCGATATAATCGAAATATTAAAGGTTTCTTAAGAATCACGGCTTTTTTTATATTTGCATCATGAAATTGACACTACATGGACGAAAAAGCTTAGGGCGAGGCAGAACTGGTTGCGTTGTTTTTGTTGTGAGTTGCTAAAAATGAGTTGCCTAATATTTTAACCATCCATCTATCTATTCAACATCCATCTATTTTGCATCAGTATGTGGCTCAAAGAAGATTTTTATGCGAAATCTAATGTAGCTCATATGCAAGAGCCACAACTCAATAAAAATATTTTTTTGTACCTCACCTCTGTTTATTATATTTTATTTTTTTAAGCATTTACCTACTAGATATTTAAATTTAAAGAAAATTTAGCTAGAAAATAATATCTGTTGTCAAGTTTGTCTGCTGCACCTTAACTTTTCAGAAAATGAACTTCAGCTCAGCTGGATTTTGCAGTTAATTAAGGTTTACCTCTTCATAACGGTGTTTTGAATTTTGATCCAGTCTTATAATCATGCTGACGGAATTTTGTACATAGTTCCAGTGGTTTTACTCAACACGAATTCCACGCTGTAAGCTAGCAAATGAGATTGAAGTGGCTCATCGATCTTTGTACCAAATAATGACATGTAATAAGTGAGAGGTAGTGAGTTTGCCCCCTCTATAGTAGAACCTACTAGCAAAATTAAATACAATATGTAAACAGTTCAGGCTCGGTCAGTTCTAAAACTCGTTACATACGATATGTAGATAATTTAAAATATAGGAAACCAGAAATAATTGTATTGCATCACAGAGCTATAAAAATTGTGATAATATAAACTTTACCCTAAATGCATGTAATCCGAGTTTTCGAAATCCCAACAGGTGAGCATAATTTTTTTTAAGAGTATTATATTATGATACGAATTGCTTAAAAAAATAAGACGAATTGGCATAGGTAGTAATAATATCATTACCTATACTGCGTTAGGTGAAAGCGGCCACCAAACCGCCACGAAACGAATGCATTGGTTAACATTGCTTTTCAGGGTTTCGTAAGCTATAAATTATGAAGAACTTAGATTGTCTTGGGTATCGAACTAAACTTAAAGGAAAAGTTATTCGACAATCTGGAGTATATTTATTGCACCTTGTGGGGTTTTCCCAAACACATCCAAAGTTTTCGATATACGTACCTACTACTATTGTCACAGTATAAAGATTTATTCCTGCAGAAGTCGGACGCCTTTCATGTAGTAGCGACGAATGCTGCAAAACCTCTACACAATAGTTCCATTAATATTATAATCAGTTAATCTAACTCTGGGGGGTCAACTGGCGTAACCGCCGTATTGGCAAAAATGACTTTTGAATGCAGTATTTAAAGTTCTTCAATTAGCAAGAAAATTCAATATACTACCAGTTTTTTTGGAAAAGAATACTATAGTGAAACTTCTTTACGCACGCTTGACTTGGAGAGTAAGCTGGCGAACGCGTTACGAAAAGTGTGATCGGGCGAGGCGAATGGGAGTTGAATGAGGGATATAAGCAAGAGAAAGCAGTGCGTGCGCACATTTTCTTTCTCTCTTTGTCTTATAGCTAGTAAATGAAATACGTATACGTATACGTACATACATTGTTAAGTTTCGCTTCAGTCGTGTGGTAATAAGCACACTGTTTTTTTATGTATTTAAAGATTTGTATTAAAGCCAATGGCGATCGTTGTGAATAAGCTTCATTTACTTTTAATGTTATTATATTCATGTATAAGCTAACAAATAGCAATAACAAATGATTTAT